GAGTTGTTCACGTCTGCCTGAGTGGCTTATATTTGGTTACATTGTCATTTGAAAAATGAAGGTAATTGTGACAAAACATTTTTTTTATTTATAACTGTGTATTTTCACGTAACTTTTGTGGTTAAAAAATGTCAGAAGGCACTATTGGCCCCCGGGCATCTTCACTTTAGGAGGAATTCCACCTATCTGTTAGAGTTTTTAACAGACAACGAGACAAGAAGTCACAGCTTCTCGAGACGCTGGCCTTCTTCAAGAGATGCCGAGATAACAAGGTAATAATATTCTTAGGTTTTTTGGTAAAGTCACGTAGGTAAAACATTAAAATTAATAAAAGTTAAATAAAATAAAAAGCACGACGTTTCGGAGGCAACACAAGCTTCCGTCTTCAGGTGGAACCGTTTTACCTACGTGACTTTACCGAAAAACCTAAGAATATGAATCCTTGCAGTCACAAAAGCTTCAAATCTAGAAGGTAATAATACCCATCGCTTTCACACTCACATATACGGGGTCGGAATCTCTTATAATTTCTCATTTACTTGATACAGCTATCGTGCTGTGACGGTTCCATCTGAAGACGGAAGCTTGTGTTGCCTCCGAAACGTCGTGATTTTTATTTTATTTTCATTTTACTTTTATTAATTTAAAATTTTTACCTACGTGACTTTACCGAAAAAACCCAAGAATAGGAGGCATGGTTCTGGTGGGTGTTGGAGGAGAGCGAGTGAGCACGTGCTACTCCATGTGAACCCGAGAGGGCACGTGACCGAGACAGGGTAGCGAGGGGGCTGAAGGAGGCTCGAGGGACACGTGACGTGGAGCCGAGAGCCTTCTGGAAAGATCCAGAAGGGGGAGTTGGCGAGGGCGGAGCGAGGCCACGCTCGGGGGAGGGAGGATAAAAGAAAAGCCCCGAGAGCGATTGAGGCTCGTCTGTGGAATCAACCCTGGGTGCTACGTCTCTTGGGTCTTCGCTCGGCATCGTGGGTCTGGCAGCGTGGATGCTGGCTGACCCGATCGTGTAGTTAACCCGCTGCTCACATAGTTAACCGTGTAGCTATCACCTAGCAGTAGAACCAGTGCACGTTTAGTTAGTTACCCTGTTGGGGAGTTGTAATAAACGTGTTGCCTTCAAGTTCAAGCGTGTGTCTTCATGGTCAACACTACATAACCACTGTGTCGTATTAAAAAAATAACTTTCCCCCTCATCTCCCTTCTCATCTCACTCCACTACCCTCCACGCACTCTCCTACCTCTCCCTTCTCATCTCACTCCACTACCCTCCACGCACTCTCCTACCTCTCCCTTCTCATCTCACTCCACTCCCCTCCACACACTCTCCTGCCTCTCCCTTTTCATCTCATTCCACTACCCTCCACGCACTCTCCTACCTCTTCCCTCTCATCTCACTCTACTCCCCTCCACGCACTCTCCTACTCCTACCTCCCTCTCATCTCACTCCACTCCCCTCCACGCACTCTCCTACCTCTCCCCTCTCATCTCACTCCCCTCCACACACTCTCCTACCTCTCCCCTCTCATCTCACTCCCCTCCACGCACTCACCTACCTCTCCCTTCTCATCTCACTCCACTCCCCTCCACGCACTCTCCTACCTCTCCCCTCTCATCTCACTCCACTCCTCTCCACGCACTCTCCTGCCTCTCCCTTCTCATCTCACTCTACTCCCCTCCACGCACTCTCCTACCTCTCCCTTCTCATATCACTCCACTCCCCTCCACTCACTCTCCTACCTCCGCCTTCTCATCTCACTCCACTCCCCTCCACGCGCTCTCCTACCTCTCCCCTCTCATCTCACTCCACTCCTCTCCACGCACTCTCCTACCTCTCCCTTCTCATCTCACTCTACTGCCCCTCCACGCACTCTCCTGCCTCTCCCCTCTCATCTCACTCCACTCCCCTCCACGCACTCTCCTACCTCTCCCCTCTCATCTCACTCCCCTCCACGCTCTCTCCAACCTCTCCCCTCTCATTTCACTCCACTCCACGCACTCTCCTACCTCTCCCCTCTCATCTCACTCCACTCCCCTCCACGCACTCTCCTGCCTCTCCCCTCTCATCTCACTCTACTCCCCTCCACGCACTCTCCTACCTCTCCCCTCTCATCTCACTCCACTCCCCTCCACGCACTCTCCTACCTCTCCCCTCTCATCTCACTCTACTCCCCTCCACGCACTCTCCTACCTCTCCCCTCTCATCTCACTCCACTCCTCTCCACGCACTCTCCTACCTCTCCCCTCTCACCCCACTCTACTCCCCTCCACGCACTCTCCTACCTCTCCCCTCTCATCTCACTCCACTCCCCTCCACGCACTCTCCTACCTCTCCCCTCTCATCTCACTCCCCTCCACACACTCTCCTACCTCTCCCCTCTCATCTCACTCCCCTCCACGCACTCACCTACCTCTCCCTTCTCATCTCACTCCACTCCCCTCCACGCACTCTCCCTACCTCTCCCCTCTCATCTCACTCCACTCCTCTCCACGCACTCTCCTGCCTCTCCCTTCTCATCTCACTCTACTCCCCTCCACGCACTCTCCTACCTCTACCTTCTCATATCACTCCACTCCCCTCCACTCACTCTCCTACCTCCGCCTTCTCATCCACTCCACTCCCCCTCCACGCGCTCTCTACCCTCTCCCCTCTCATCTCACTCCACTCCTCTCAACGCACTCTCCTACCTCTCCCTTCTCATCTCACTCTACTCCCCTCCACGCACTCTCCTGCCTCTCCCTCTCATCTCACTCCACTCCCCTCCACGCACTCTCCTGCCTCTCCCCTCTCATCTCACTCTACTCCCCTCCACGCACTCTCCTACCTCTCCCTTCCATCTCACTCCACTCCCCTCTCATCTCACTCCACTTCCCTCCACGCCTCTCCTACCTCTCCCTTCTCATCTCACTCTACTCCCCTCCACGCACTCTCCTGCCTCTCCCCTCTCATCTCACTCCACTCCCCTCCACGCACTCTCCTGCCTCTCCCCTCTCATCTCACTCTACTCCCCTCCACGCACTCTCCTACCTCTCCCCTCTCATCTCACTCCACTCCCCTCCACGCACTCTCCTGCCTCTCCCTTCTCATCTCACTCCACTCCCCTCCACGCACTCTCCTGCCTCTCCCCTCTCATCTCACTCTACTCCCCTCCACGCACTCTCCTGCCTCTCCCCTCTCATCTCACTCCACTCCCCTCCACGCACTCTCCTGCCTCTCCCCTCTCATCTCACTCCACTCCCCTCCACGCACTCTCCTACCTCTCCCCTCTCATCTCACTCCACTCCCCTCTCATCTCACTCCACACTCTCCTGCCTCTCCCCTATCATCTCACTCCACTCCCCTCCACGCACTCTCCTGCCTCTCCCTCTCATCTCACTCCACTCCCCTCCACGCACTCTCCTGCCTCTCCCCTCTCATCTCACTCTACTCCCCTCCACGCACTCTCCTGCCTCTCCCCTATCATCTCACTCCACTCCCCTCCACGCACTCTCCTGCCTCTCCCCTCTCATCTCACTCCACTCCCCTCCACGCACTCTCCTACCTCTCCCCTCTCATCTCACTCCACTCCCCTCTCATCTCACTCCACACTCTTCTGCCTCTCCCCTATCATCTTACTCCACTCCCCTCCACGCACTCTCCTGCCTCTCCCCTCTCATCTCACTCCACTCCCCTCCACGCACTCTCCTGCCTCTCCCCTCTCATCTCACTCCACTCCCCTCCACGCACTCTCCTGCCTCTCCCCTCTCATCTCACTCCACTCCCCTCCACGCACTCTCCTGCCTCTCCCCTCTCATCTCACTCCACTCCCCTCCACGCACTCTCCAACCTCTCCCCTCTCATCTCACTCCACTACCCTCCACGCACTCTCCTACCTCTCCCCTCTCATCTCACTCCACTCCCCTCCACGCACTCTCCTGCCTCTCCCCTATCATCTCACTCCACTCCCCTCCACGCACTCTCCTGCCTCTCCCCTCTCATCTCACTCCACTCCCCTCCACGCACTCTCCTGCCTCTCCCCTATCATCTCACTCCACTCCCCTCCACGCACTCTCCTGCCTCTCCCCTCTCATCTCACTCCACTCCCCTCCACGCACTCTCCTACCTCTCCCCTCTCATCTCACTCCACTCCCCTCCACGCTCTCTCCTGCCTCTCCCCTCTCATCTCACTCCACTCCCCTCCACGCACTCTCCTACCTCTCCCCTCTCATCTCACTCCACTCCCCTCCACGCACTCTCCTACCTCTCCCCTCTCATCTCACTCCACTCCCCTCTCATCTCACTCCACACTCTTCTGCCTCTCCCCTATCATCTTACTCCACTCCCCTCCACGCACTCTCCTGCCTCTCCCCTCTCATCTCACTCCACTCCCCTCCACGCTCTCTCCTGCCTATCCGGGATATTTAAAATATTCTGATGTTCTTTTAACAGCAATCTGTTGAGGGTGTTATTTATTTATTATGCTTGTACACCACTGCCAACGCAGCATCATTACCACATCGTCCTAAGCCCACGGAGTGTTGCACTATAAATACCGGAATAATAATTATAATCTTCTTGGTTCTTTCGGTAAAGTCACGTAGAAGGGAAGTAATAAAATAATAAAAATAAAACATAATAAAATAAAATAATTCTCACGACGTTTCGGCTACAACGCAAGCAGCCGTCTTCATTCTTCACCTGAAGACGGCTGCTTGCGTTGTAGCCGAAACGTCGTGAGAATTATTTTATTATGTTTTATTTTTAATATTTTATTACTTCCCTTCTACGTGACTTTACCGAAAGAACCAAGAAGATGAATCCCTGCAGTCACGAAAGCTTTAAATCGAAAAATAATTATAATATTGAATTGCGGCCCAGAACGGGAATCGAACCCGTGTGGCCATCGCTTACAAAGCCCCTCCCCCAAACTGCCACTCCGCCCCCCCCCCGTGACGTCACGACCCCCCCGCCCCTCGCACGCCCGCTATATATAAAGCGGCGCACGCGCGCAGCAGCCACCATTGACGGCGCTCGTCCCATGGTCCTCGGCTCCATTATCTTGTTCCGAGTCCCCAGCAAGTTGCTTCCGTCATCATCGCCACAAGCTCAGCGCTGCAAATCCATCTCGTCGTACTTCAACCCGTATTTTGTTTTGTTATCGCTTAAAAAAAAGAAATTTATTAATATTTTCTTTTTTTTACCTCGTACGTCTCGGGGCCGGCTAATTTTTTTTTTTCCCGCCAACGACCTCCAACCCCCACAACGTTGCGCGCGCGCGCTCTCTCTCTCTCTCGCTCCCCGGTCACGTGGCGGTCATCCGCCAATCAACGCTCTTGGCTCGTGCCTGCCCCTCCCCCCTTTTCTCACCCCCCCCCCCTTCGGCTAGAGTAGCCCCGCCCCTCACCCCCCCACACCAGTAGCCCCGCCCCTCACCCCCCCCACACCAGTAGCCCCGCCCCTCCACTCGCCTCCTCTTCCAAGTCAAAAGGCTCGGGAAGAATGACTGGGTTCGCTTCGGTGACGAGACACAAAAAGGTATTTATAATATAGACGTTATAAGTAATAATTTTTAACGTGCAAAAATATACGTGTACGCATCGTAGCGTTGTGAGACGATGTGGTTTTTTGTTATTTTCCGAGATAATTGTAATGTAACACGTGTACGTACACGTCGCTTGGGTGACGAGAAAATTGGGTGTTAAAAATTAAGACGTTATAAATAGCAATGTTTTAACGTACAACACAAATATACGTACGCATCGAAGTGTTTGTAAGTCGATGTTGTGGTTTTTTTATTCTCTGAGGTAATTGTTGCAATCATAGGCGGGACAACGTAGGTATTAAAATAAAGACTAATGTTTAAACGTACACGTTTGTTACGCGTATTGTAAGTGTCGTTTTTTATATTTACCAAAGTATACATTGTTGCAATGTATCTAAGTGTGCGTATACAATTAAAATGGTGATGCGTTTATAAGTTTTGTGAGGTAATTGTGTAATTTAGTGTTACCGATTTGATCGCGTTTAATTCGTAACCTTCGCACTTTAAATCGTATTGCGATGATAAATTAAAGGCACGTAGACATGAAATAGATGATTACACGATTATTCAAACAGTTTAGTGATTCGTTACGAACAATTCCAGTGTGTGAGAATGAGGTGTGGTTATTGAAAATGTTTTATTTTATCTTGGCCTCGATTTTAATTATTGTAGAGGACGAATTAGTGTGGCTTTTTGTCGATCTTTATTGCTTTATTTTTTAGTGGTACACATGGGAAGTGCTACTCTTAGGTTTTTTTCGGTAAAGTCACGTAGGGAAATAAAGAAATCGTAGAAATAATATGATGAATAAAATAATAATTGTGTTTTTATTTGTATTGTTTTATAAAAATAATTGAAATAAAAATAAATAAAAATGTATTTCTATTATTTTGATTTTTTTTCCCTACGTGACTTTACCAAAAAAACCTTAGAGTATGAATCCTTGCGGTCACAAAAGCTTTAAATCTAGAATGGAAGTGCTCAAAAAGTCTTAAAGTCACTTTATTGTCAAGTGTGTTACATGCATGACATACAACACAGATGAAATTACAGTCCTCTCTCTTGGTCCCACGGTGCAACCAAGCAATTAAAAAATTAATCACAATTAACAGACATAAATAAACAATAAACAATCGGCGATCAACACAACATAAATAATCAAAAATGTAATAAACTTAAAATAAACAACAGTCAAGAATTTTTAAAATGTAAAGTATTATTTAAATAAATTATTTAAAGAAATAAGATATTTAAAGCAGTGTGGTAAACCCAACAGGCGCTCTACGCCTGCAGTATTTGTTAATTTCCCCTCTAAACTGGATTCTTCCACGTAGGCTTTCATCAGCAGTACAGGTCTGGGCTTGCCGAACGGAGATGTTCCTGTGGTTTGTTTTTTACCAGACCCATTGGGCAAGATAACTCTAATTAAAACTACCATCTATTCAACAATTCTACCGTACAAAACATAAATAAACTCATGCCCGGCTCTGCTGATGAGGCCCAGAAAGCCAAAACTGGCCACGAGTTGGCTTCGCCCATAAGACGCGTGCTGCTGGATATCATAGCGGTCTTTGCAGCCTTAAGTAAGATGTAAGTGCTATAATATATACATTTTAAATGGTTTGTTTTGCGACTTAACCGAGAAATCTCGAGATGGCTCCTACGCAGTTGGTTAGGGTCCATTAAAGACAAAATCGCAGCGAATCGCGAGTGAGAAGGGGAGGCCTTTAACCTACATTGTATAATTCCTGTAATGATTCTTTTAAAATATATTTAGTGACTTGCTTACTCTTTTTACCTGCTACTTTGCACGCCGATCGGTGTTTAGTTTTGTATTTGTTGTAACTTGCTGACCCGTGTCCACACTTGAGGCATGCGTTGGTAGCTCATCGGATTCATTTTTATTCTTTAAAGATTCTGATCCAGTCGTGGCTATTTCGACCCTTGCCACGGCCAATGTAGCATCAAATACAAATATCCCCCGTATAGCCTTAGGGGACCATCCATTTAGTACGTACGCATGGAAGGGGGTTAACCCAAATTCGTACTGACAATGTACGCATAGGAAACGGGGGGGTAAAGCCTCGATAATAATTTGTCGACATCGACCTTCTAATGAGCCACAGTTCAGTTTATTCAGCTTGCTTAAATACATAATATCGCTTGTTGGGGCAATCGCTGTTCGCGAGTAGCACCTAACGAAAGCCGGCACGGCGCTATGAACGGGGGTGGATGGCCAACACCACACCCGGCCGCCTTCCATCTCTCCAGTGGCGATGTTCACACACCCGCACCCCGGGGAACTTATTTGAGGCCGAGTCTACCTAGGGGGGGAGGAGGGGGCCCATGACCGGTTCAGATAATCGTCACGGGTTGCCGTCCGTGGGCGGAAATCGAACTCTGGTTCGTAGCTGTACTACACCTTTAACAGCTCCCCCACGCTGATGGAGGATCTGGCACTCACGCACACAATCACGTGGGGGGCGGCAGTAGTAGTAGGAGGAGGAGGGAACGCGTGGAGGGCAGCAGTGGTAATGGGGAACACGTGGAGAGCAGCAGTAATAGGAGACACGTGGAAGGCAGTAGTAGTGATAGGAGGGAACACGTGGAGGGCTGCAGGAGGAGGGAACACGTGGAAGACAGTAGTGATAGGATGAGGGGAACACGTGGAGGGCAGCAGGAGGAGGAGGGGAACACGTGGAGGGCAGCAGTAGTGATAGGAGGAAACACGTGGAGGGCAGCAGCAGTGATAGGAGGAGGGGAACACGTGGAGGGCAGCAGTAGTGATAGGAGGGAACACGTGGAGGGCTGCAGCAGGAGGAGGAGGGAACACGTGGAGGGCAGCAGGAGGGAATACGTGGAAGACAGCAGTAGTGATAGGAGGGGGGGGACACGTGGAGGGCAGCAGTAGTGATAGGAGGGGGGGGACACGTGGAGGGCAGCAGTAGTGATAGGAGGGAACACGTGGAGGGCTGCAGGAGGAGGGAACACGTGGAAGACAGTAGTGATAGGATGAGGGGAACACGTGGAGGGCAGCAGGAGGAGGAGGGGAACACGTGGAGGGCAGCAGTAGTGATAGGAGGAAACACGTGGAGGGCAGCAGCAGTGATAGGAGGAGGGGAACACGTGGAGGGCAGCAGTAGTGATAGGAGGGAACACGTGGAGGGCTGCAGCAGGAGGAGGAGGGAACACGTGGAGGGCAGCAGGAGGGAATACGTGGAAGACAGCAGTAGTGATAGGAGGGGGGGGACACGTGGAGGGCAGCAGTAGTGATAGGAGGGGGGGGACACGTGGAGGGCAGCAGTAGTGATAGGAGGGAACGCGTGGAGGGCTGCAGCAGTGATAGGAGGGGAACACGTTCAGGGCAGGAGGAGGAGGGAACACGTGAAGGGCTGCAGCAGGAGGGAACACGTGGAAGACGGCAGTAGTGATAGGAGGGGGGGGGGGACACGTGGAAGACAGCAGTAGTGATAGGAGGGGGGGAACACGTGGAGGGCAGCAGTAGTGATAGGAGGGGGGGACACACGTGGAAGACAGCAGTAGTGATAGGAGGGGGGGAACACGTGGAGGGCAGCAGTAGTGATAGGAGGGGGGGAACACGTGGAAGACAGCAGTAGTGATAGGAGGGGGGGGAACACGTGGAAGACAGCAGTAGTGATAGGAGGGGGGGAACACGTGGAGGGCAGCAGTAGTGATAGGAGGGGGGGAACACGTGGAAGACAGCAGTAGTGATAGGAGGGGGGGGGGGACACGTGGAAGACAGCAGTAGTGATAGGAGGGGGGGGAACACGTGGAAGACAGCAGTAGTGATAGGAGGGGGGGAACACGTGGAGGGCAGCAGTAGTGATAGGAGGGGGGGAACACGTGGAAGACAGCAGTAGTGATAGGAGGGGGGGAACACGTGGAGGGCAGCAGTAGTGATAGGAGGGGGGGAACACGTGGAAGACAGCAGTAGTGATAGGAGGGGGGGGAACACGTGGAAGACAGCAGTAGTGATAGGAGGGGGGGGAACACGTGGAAGACAGCAGTAGTGATAGGAGGGGGGGGGGACACGTGGAAGACAGCAGTAGTGATAGGAGGGGGGGGAACACGTGGAAGACAGCAGTAGTGATAGGAGGGGGGGAACACGTGGAGGGCAGCAGTAGTGATAGGAGGGGTGGGGACACGTGCGCGCGAATTCACTACCATAAGCCGGGGTGTTGGTGGCGGGGGAGGGGATTTGGTTAACGTAGAGCGCTTAAGCTGCATTTGGGGTCACCGAAATGAAACGGTGGGGGTGGGGGCACGTGACACGGGCGCGTCCAATGGGCGAAGCGTTGTGCGACCACCACCTGCTCAGCTCCCTCTCCTAAGCGCGGTATCAATTGTAACGTCCGGGCAGAGTGGGTTTTTTGTGTGTGTGTGTGTCCGTGTGGCGTGAGATGCATTATTAATTAGCATTGTGTGCCGTGGGTCTGTCCACTGCTAGATGATGGCCTCATTCCCGTCGCTTGACTGCACAATTGTACATCAAGAAATCGGCTTTTGAAATGGCATCTTTGACCATTGTGCACGACGTCACTCGTCCATTTTAGTTATTTTGTCAACTGCTGGATTGAGGGGGGCATCATCTTGCCGCGTGGTCTTATGCGATTGTACATAAGCCATTACCTCGAATCGGGTATCGTTGCACAATTGTTATGTATGTGCCATTTATTATGTATTCCAGCATTAGTGCCGGGGTGTTATAGACTGCCTCGGAGGTTGGGTTGCATTGGAGTTATGGTTTTTGTTTGCATTACAACTACAGGTATTGTGGTCTATGCAAACATGACTCCTTGTAAAATAGGTGTCAGTTTTGTTGCCAGATGAAAGGGTAAAAAAACAATTATCATATTTTTCTACTGGCAAATGAGGTTCCAATGGTGGAACATCCATAATAGTTTTTTTTGGGGGGGGGGGTAGATCGCGTAAATGTGTCGTTAAACCCACCACCACCCGGCACAGCCAATTA